TATACCCATTTTTATCAGGTATTGGATTCAGATGATTATATATTGGGGAAAGTTGTCGAAAATCCAAAGATAAAATGCAGTTATGCAAAGTATTGCTTTGCTCAGTTCACAAGGAGAGATCTCCTAATATTAAACGGTTCTGTGAAGGGGGATTTTTTTTAGTATTAATAAAATACATCCTTTCCTCTACTTTCCACTTAAAAATGGTAGGTAGGAAGCATATGGTCTTGAGAGAACTTAAGGCATGAAACAAAAAACTGCACAATCTCTTTCTTATTCTCTCATAAACCTTAATTAATTGTGTGTTGCTGACTGCAACGTAATAGTGACCCTTGCCAAGAGTTCATAGTTATAAAGTACTCAGAAGTGTTGTACCAGTCATTTCTAGTGGCATCTGCCTTAGTAACTCTGTGATCTGGGTTTCACTTCCCCACTGTGTGGGCTAACTACACGGTTCCAGAACACTCCCAGAGGGGACCCCTGGCTTCACAGCTGAATATTCGAACTCACTTGAGTTATCCAGTCACCTCTTGGAAACCTTACAATAGATTTAATACAGTGGAGTCTCCTCTTACGAATGGCTCCACTTACGTATTTTTCAATGTACGTACTTCTCCAGCCACAAGATTTCCAATCAACTTGCGGCCGGAGAATTGACCTACCGACCAGAAGGGGGAGGTGGGGAAAGCACCAAATTCAAATTTGGCGCTTTCCCCGCCTCCCCCTTCCAGTCTGTAGACTGCTAATCTGCCTCTGGATACCTTCCAAGGCTTCTTCGCCGCCATGGGTAGGACACCTGTGGCCTTTCAAATGTTGATGAAATGCAACTTGCAGCTTTTCTATCCAGTGGCTCAGCTGTCAGGTCAGAGATTCTGACACCTGAATATCTCCCTAAGAGACCTACATAACTGTATAGACCTCTACGGAAAAAAAATCAGAAGCCTGTGTTCAACACAGCTGGCATTTTATCGCTGTAAAGGTTTAATTCCAGATAACTCCCCCCAACCAAAAAAATCATTGACAAGCATATCAAAATTCATCTGAGTATCAAGGTATATATCTTTACACTGTTGCAATAATTACTGGCCACATCACCTTGTCTAATTCTACAAGCTTTATTTTACATTGCTTCTACATTTACTAAACACAAAATACTTGAAAAAAATAACAATGTAATATGTATTGAAAATATTACAGTTATGAAAACTGTAGGCACAAATGCTTAAAAATAAATTGCCATCTGAAATTCTTACAGCTGTGAGAAGTCGCAAACAAAAATACATCCAAAATAAAACTTAAGTTATATGCAGGAATGAAATCAAGTCATAATTAGGTTTCAAATTTTCAATAGCTTCCATTTAAATAACTTATTTTAAAATAAGAGAAAATTTATCTCTAAAATGCCAGATCTTAAGAATAAAACTGCATTAAAGAAAATATTATCTTAGCCTCTAAACATATTAAGAAACCACACAAAATAATTCTAAATGCTGACCCAGCCAAATTAATTTCAATCTATGGAGGAAAATTCATGTTGATCATCTGCTGCTTTGCTGCTACTTGAATGTTGTTGGTAATCAGTGTGTGTGATGTAGCATGAAGTCTTGGTATCTTGATGACTTGAGTGTCTCTGAGTGGCTTGTCTTATCTCCCTATACTTATAATTTGTTCAGTTATCCACACACACTCAATCTGTAAATAATTTCTTTTCCAGGGGTCTGGAGCTTCAAAAGTTTAGTATTCCAAGAATAATTTTAAAATAGGAAATTGTATTGTTCCAAAAGTCCTTGTAATCTCAGGGATCTATAATTTATATCTGGCAAACGGCTATTATGCTGATAACATTATTGTTATGACTAACGTTTTTTGCAGAGCTTAGAGTAATAATGCTCTAATATGCCACTGAGCATTTGATGCACTAGGATACTGTCACCCTAAAATGGCAAACTATTGTGAACTCAAAATTATAATCATAGAAAGGTTGCAATATATATCTTAAAAATGCCTTCTCCATATTGATATGTTACAAGACAAACATGTTAATTGTAACATAAACATATGTTCAGCTGTCAGGAATGTTAACTGTTCAGTGACTTTGCTGGAG